TGTCACAGAGGACCCAGCCACGATACCGGGCACTACTTTGCCATCCTTACCTATCGCAACCTCATGTGGCTTGCGGATGATGGCAAACCACCGGTCCACTTGGCACATTTGACACCGCAATTGGCCAGCCACTCCATCCAAGTCCGGAAAAGCGGCCCAGGCTGGCACAAGAGCACAACCAGCTCCACTATGCCAACGTCACCAACTTTGGCAGACAAGTCATTGATTGGTACTGGACAAGGCAAAGTGAGGTCTACATCTTTGCCGAAACCCACCTAGATCCACAGAAGCATCAACAAGCCTGTCAGTATTACACTGTCCGTGGGAGAGCCGCTTTTGGGGTTGCAGCTTGGCTCAACGAAGACAACAGCGGAACCATGGAGGGCTCCTAGTGCTGGGAGACCAATCATGCGGATTGACCCCACTGGAAGCCTTCAGCATCCAGGGCTGCGGCTATCAAGCCTTTCTATGGCAGTCCACAGAGCAAACAATCTTGGTTGCAGGAATCTGCCTGCGCACAAACGAGAGCCTGCAGAGTGACACCAATGCCACCATTGCAAAGCTCTTGACACTCTTGGAAGCAACGACACACCCCTTTGTCATCATTGGGGGTTGGCAGAACCAACCAAGCAGCATTTCCAACACCGTGCTGCCTTCGAAATTCCATTTTTGAAATTCTTGCACCAGGCCACAGCGTCCTTTCAGGAAATGTGATCGACTTCAGCTTGGTCCACAACCCACTTGCAGGTAGCACAGCACTCACCACGGACTGGGCAGCCCCTTGGCGACCTCATGCCCTGCTCCTCAAGTTTGATATAGAAGCCGCCACCAAAGAATATCGGCAGATCCAATACTTCCAACCCCTGCCGCCCACGCCAGACATCGACTTCCGCCCATGGACATCATATCAATCTCAGGCCTTCGAACTGGACCTCTACGGCAACCCGGCCAATGAATCGGCACAAAGCCGGCGCAGAACGATATCTATTACAAGAGCCACACTGCATGTGGTGGTGAAACCACTCCTACGGAGCAACTGCAGGCCCGCCTTAAGCTCGCCATTGCACAGCCCAGTACCCAACCGGGCGGACCCACCAAAGGGTTCATGAGGGCCATCCAAGATGCCCACTTGGGGACAATTCCTGGACACTTGCCATCATTGGCACCAGTACCGAGATCCACATGCTGTTGAACTACTGCAACACACAACGACCCACCAGCTCCAAGAGGCTCAACAGGCAGCCAATGATGAAGGACATCGCCAATACAAAGAATGGCTGAAACAAGGGCAGGCTAAAGGCCTACGGCGCCTATTCAGAAGCCTCAAGAGTAGTGAAGCTGCAAGGCAAAGGTCTTACAGAAACATAGCGCATGGATCACAGACTCCAAGACTGGGCAGTCTCTGGCAAATCCGACAGGATGCTCAGCCACATGAAAGACCCAGCCTACGTGACCAGGCACAGCACCAGGCCAAGCAGCTTGAACAAATCACCATTGGCCAGCTTGCCAAAGTCCTCCAGGGACTTCCAGATAAGGCCATTGGCCCGGGTGCGGTCTCAGCCCAACTGCTCCGGAGTGCACCGCCTCTCTCGCTTGGCCCGCTTCTCAAACTACTGCAGGACATGGAAACGCCAACGCGGCTACCGATGCACATGGTGGTTATGCTGCCAAAGAACACAAACTACAGAGTGTGGTGCCGGCTGAGAAAACTACTTCTTGACCAGTGGCAACACAACCTTCCCGACACCATGAACCACGACAGAGCTCGACCTGGTGCCAACATCCTGGAAGTGGCGCTTGAACGACTACTCAGACAGGAAGTGCACAAGGCCACTGGGCAACATGGAGTCACGGTGCTAATGGATATGTCAACTTTCTACGACACCATCCACTTAACCCGGCTCCAAGAAGAAGCGCTCCAGCTACAGTACCCACCTCTCATGCTAGAGATGGCCATGCAAGTATACACCGGGCCCAAGTCCATTGTGGCGGAGCAGGAAATGACTCCATTCTTCTTTGTCAACAATGGAGTTCCAGCTGGCTGCCCACAAGCACCGCTCCTGGCGAAAGCCATCTTGGCCCCAGCACTCACGCCCTGGAAAGCACAACACCCAAAGGTTCACCTTTCCAGTTGGGTTGATACGTGGGCTTGACACATCCAGCAAGAGCCCCCAACAAGTGGCTCAAGAAGCTGTGGAAGCCTACAGGGACCTGCACCAGCGCCTCACTGAGCTTGATCTCAGAGTCAACCCCAAGCTTTCATTGCGACCGACAAGGCCACCGACCGCGAACTCAAGAACCTGAACCACCTGTGGCACCAGTCATGAGAGACCTTAGCCAAACATTTGGGCCATCACACCGCAGGCATCTTGGACAGCGCCTACGACCTCCACAGCAACAAATACATGGACCCAGGTGACCAGATCATCATCCACCGCATCCGGGCCATGTATCACCTCATCAATGCAGGGCCACCCGACCAGCTACAGCACCTTGAACAAGCATGGACCAGCACCCATCAGCCAAGACAGGCAATAGCCGTGGTACACGGTGCGTGGACCTATGGCGGCAACCATAGAACACACACACAATCTCATGCACGGGACCAGACCGGAAGCCAATCTGCTCCTCAGCAATGAGCTCAACCTGCAAGCGCCCTGGTGGCAGTTGGAGCACATCCTCCTCAAAGAAGCCCAGCAGCGCACAGCCAGACTGGCCAGCAGACGCAATCATCAACACCTGGTACCAGGGATTGACTGGCATGTTTACCGCCAGATCATCAAGAAACTGCCAGCCAACCAGCAACAGCACCTAAAAACATGGGTACAAGGTGCTGTCCAGTACCGCGAAGCCAGCGCCGTCAAAACATGCCCCATTTGCCATGTGCCAGCAACTCCCAAGCACATCCTCTGGCTCTGCAAGTGGCACAGAGATCAGCAGCATGCACCACTTCCGGCTGGGTGGCTCGAGCGCATCACGCGCCGTGAAGAAGAGCCCCTCTTGAACCACAAGATCATAAACAGCACCCACATCCGTACCAACAATAGGCCCATAGGCCCGCACCAGTACATTGGGTGGGCCTTTACCCTTGATGCCACACCTTCGATCTATGATCCCCGAAGCCAACTCTGGGTTTTTGGCTTGTGTGTCCATACCCAAACCATGGGGCAACTTCGACGGCTCGGGGCCATCACTGCCATCCCCAAGAAAGCGCAAACCAAGGCCAGAGCCCTGTTTGGTTGCTCTCACCAAGCACACCACCACACCGGTCAAGGTCATTGTCCAATTGACCACACTCTCGAAGAAGCCTGGCATCATCCCACCCAGCAACACCAGTTCCAAGGAGGACCTCACCCCACAGGACTGCAGTCGCATCACCGTCCTTTACATCAGCAAAAACACCAGAACACCTGATGCACCTGGGAACGAACCCCAGCTCCGACGGAGACAGCGCGATGCAGCCCTGACTGCATGGGAGCGAGCCAATGCCATGCATGACCGACAGCGCACAGAATGGCAAAAAACAGTAGATCAGGACCACCTCCAGATCTACAAGCACGCAGTACACAGGCTGGAGAAGATCTACGCAGACAAGCGGCACTACATACACAGCAAGGCACCCAGGCACCAGGGCAAGCAAACAAAGCAGCATAAAAAGGACTTGGTGCAGCAGTGCAAGAAGCCCTGGATCCCACAGCATCACCGCTGGGAACCGCATCGTAGCGGTTACCACTGCAGAGCCTGCGGCACTCGCATGCATCAAGGATTGACCACCCCAATCCTTGAAGGACGACTGCAGGAACTCTGCCCCCAGCTTCTGGTTGATGCCAGCCGCACAGAACCAGCACAAGCAGCACCGGCTCCAAACAAGAAACCCACCAGAGCTCAGAACATCAGGAATCTACTCAACGCACAAGCTGCTAACGAGCCTGGCAAAGAGCAACACCACTTCGAAGAGACCAACGGCTATCTCAAGTGCATCAAGTGTGGAGCCAATATCCACAAACGCACCAATGAGCAAGCCTTCCAGGACTACATCAACAGCCCATGCCTCGACCAGGCTTACAAGGAACCACATGATGGGCATCCAAGCCACAGCCTATGCCAAAAAGGGCGCGGGTCAGCTGTACCCTCTGTGGACTCCAATGGCACCTTGACAGCCAACAGCGGGTCATCCATACCACCGGGTTCCAGAAAGAGTGCAAAGGTGCGGGCCTCAAGGGATCACCGCCCCTTCAACACTTCTTTCAGGCGGCGAGCCAAACGAGCCAAACAGCCACACAGAGAACAGAGGCTCACCAGAAGGCCCCTGCCAGGACCGACACAACCACAGGCCCAACACCCCGGCGACTGCACTTCAACACAGAGCTGGATCAGCGTGAGTTTGAAGAAATTCAAACCCAACCTGCCAAGGCCATGAAACCCAGCCATAATGCAAGTTCAACAGCTGCAGCTCCAAGCACAGCCGGTAGGCCACCACAGGCCATACCTGACAGCTCCACAGACTCCTGCAGATGGACAAGAGATTGGCGAAGAGGAAGCAAGCGTGCAAGACGAAATCCTCGAGGTCGACTACTTCTAGCCGCTAGCCATCCGGAGCTGTAGAGCAGATATGCCAAAGGCATCGTGACTCCAGCGGAGGGAAAGGCCACTTTAGGAAAACACATACATACAGACAGAGAGACACACACAGACAGACATATATACATACAGACATACAGACATACATACATAAAGACAGACAGACAGACAGACAGACAGACAGACAGACAGACAGACAGA